TGAAGAGGTCCTGGGGAATGTACTAGGGACGGTAATCAACAGATTCCTTGCTCCTGTGTCTCGAGGAGTGACATTGGTTTTATTCAACCTTCTGTCGAGAACTCTCACAGATGTGTTGTATACTTGTGTAAGTTGACAAACCGCAGCCTTTACCAAGCCCACCGCCAGCCATTGACGCATCTCCCTCCTCCTGTCCTCTCTTTACCCACATGGAGAATACATCAAGCTGACATGGAAAACTACTCCAGCCCGCGGCTCTCGTGACAAAGGCATCCGTCAGAGCTGACAACCCTACCTGGCGATACTACTTCAATGCAACGTTCCCGAATACCCAAGCCCCTCTCATACTCCCGGAATACGGCATCGACAACGTCGGCGCGTATCACGCTTCGGAAATCCCCATTGTGTTCGGAACCTATGGCATATACGACAAGTACGCCCCCTCAACGGAGGAACAAAAGGCGTTGAGCCGGTACATGCTGCGGTCATGGGCTAGCTTCGCCAAGAACCCTGACGGTGGCCCCGGCTGGACACGAGCGACGGGCCGGAAGCAGAGCACCATCGGGTGCCTCGGCTGTTATGAGAACCCAGTGGGCGTGGCCGAGATCAGCAGCACCAGGACGGACGGGACCTGCGGGCTGCTGAACATGGTCTACACGGCGAGGGAGCCGCTGTTCTAGGGCCGGAGCTCACAGAGACCACTTGACCATGAACATATCATGCTGTGTCTCGTACTTAGTATCGGTTATGCTTCCGGAGCCGACGTCTTGGTGCTTCCTCGCGCTGTACATGGGTGGGATGACCAAAAAGAAAAAAGATACAACCCCTGGGAACTCGTCACTCGAAAATCCCGGGACATACATACGATTCTACAACACAGTCTTAATTTTGTAGCGTAGCGAACTACTTTCGACAGAGGATGTCAGGGTTTTTTTTCATGATGTTTTTACTAGATAATGTACACACGAATTCAATTCATTTCGCTAGTTATTCGCTCCAGTCTGACTGGCTATAGTCTAGCCAGGGAAAAGACGATGTTGTGGCCTATGTGGCTACATTCACATAAACATGACAGATCTCAGCGTCCGTTGCTGAGATGACATTGATTCTCTCGCAGAGATTCCTGGGAATATGGCGTCTTTCCGGCGTCAATCGCCAATCGCACATGGAACCCGTCCCAAAATAACGATGCAGTGTAGGCGCTTCCCCGAGACACGGTCAGTTCGTCAGCCGAGGAAGTTTTTCAGGTTGCCGCCAATGTTCTTGAGGTCGAGCAGGAACGTGTCGTGGCCGAACATGCTCATCTCCTCGCTGAGCTCGTAGTGGGCGACGTTGCGGTTGCCGGCGAGCTTCAGCGCCTCGGCGACCTCGCGCTGCTGCCAGGCGGGGAAGAGGATGTCGCTGGCGACGCCCATGACGAGCGTCGGCATGTCGCGCAGCGTGGCGAGGCCGGCGATGAGGTCCTCGGGCGGTCGCGAGGAGACCTCGGCGTGCGCGTTGGCGGCGTCGGCGGCACCGCCCGAGGAAGACGACAGCGACGACGACGACTCGGGCTGCTCCTCGTACGGCTTCTCCGGCAGCGTCAGGCTGCAGGCCATGTCTGTGGCGGCTGGGGCGATGCCGGAGGCGAGGTCCCGCTCACGGGCGGCGCGGCGGGCCCGGGTCGCGCGCTGGTTGTCGCGGCCGAGGTCGAAGAGGTCCATGGCCTTGCTGACGTAGAGCAGGCTGTTGGGGTCGTAGGTCAGGCAGAACTTTTCGCCGGCGTGGTCGAGGTAGGTCTCGACGAGAAAGTCGGGGCACAGGGCGGGGGGCTTGCTGGGGTCGGCCCGCCGGCGGCCGAAGCGCTGCTCCCACTCGGGGCCGGAGCGGTAGGTGACTGTGGCGATGCCGCGGGCGAGCTTCATGCCGGCGTGGGGCGGCAGGTCGCCGTAGTAGTAGCCGCGCTTCCAGTTGGGGTCCATCATGAGGACCTGGCGCTGTGTGTGGCGCATGGCGATGCTGTAGGGGTGGCTCCGCGCGCAGCCGCTGATGGAGACGATGCGACGGACGCGGTCGGGGAAGAGGACGCCGGCGGCGAGGGACTGCATGCCGCCCATGCTGGAGCCGACGCTCGCGTAGAGGCTCTTGACGCCGAGGCTGTCGAGGAGGCGGAACTGGGCGCGCACCATGTCCTCCATGGTCAGGATGGGGAAGCGCGTGGCGTAGTGCTGGCCGTCGGCGGGGTCGGTGCTGCTGGGTCCCGTCGAGCCGTAGCAGCCGCCGATGACGTTTGTGCAGATGACGTGGTACTTGTCCGTGTCGAGGGGGCCGCCGGGGCCGATGAACTTCTCCCACCAGCCCGGCGCCGGGTTGGCCTCGGTCGAGTGGGCGTGGGAGGAGGCCGAGAGGCCTGTGTGCAGGAGGATGACGTTGGACTTGTCGGCGTTCATCTCGCCCCACGTCTCGTACGCAATCTTGAATTCGGGCAGCATGCCGCCCCAGTCGAGGACGAGAGGCTCCTGGCAGTGATATGTCTGCGTCGCGCCAGATGTGTAGGAGGGTTCGGGCCCGCTCGACTCAAAGCTCGCTCGTAGGGTCGCGGATCGGGTCTCTAGGGCGTCGAGGCAGGGGAAGGCCATGGCCGGGTTCGAAGCCTCGCCGGCCGCGGCGGCCTTTGGCGGTCTCGAGGTGAAGCATCGCGCATGCTGGGCCGGCTGGCGAATGCTCAAGGCCGCAGCGCGCGAGGTCGTCACGACGGCCCTCGATGTCGACTGGAGGGAACAACGCAGCGGGCGAATGGCCGAGGGGACGAGTTTCTGCAGCGTCATGACGGTGCCTTGTGTGTTTGATGGACGCAGAAATCGAGGTAGTCTAGCCAAGACATGTAAAAGAAAAAGGCCTATCCGGCCGGTTTGTCAGCGCAGTTCATCTTTCCAAGACGAGCGTCGCGCGGGATGCCTTTTGGAGCTATGGTTCAGATCCCGCCGCTGAGGGAAAGCGAGCTCGGAGCTTTTAGCCGATGATGCTATTTCACGTGACGATAAGGCTGGGGCGAGGCAGAGGCAGGTGCTTATCACCGTTCTTGCCTCTTCAAGTGCTGCTGACGTCATCCAGAGACCCTGAGACGGGTGGTCCCTGCCGCGTCTTTCTGCCCCTCATTTGTGCCGATTGAGCATGGGGAAAGAGCAATGCCACACGAAATGCGGCATGACGCGCGTGGAGCTTCGTCGTCACATGGAGGACTCAGTGGCCTGAATATACGGCTGCCTCCAGAAGCTCACCATCATTCTGAATCCTTACTTCCTATCCTTTTTGCTCTCTCCGCCTCATATTGACCACTTCCCACACTTCCATGTTCATTCTCGCTGCGTATCCCACGCTGCTCGCCATCCTCATCGGCACCGCTACCGTATTCCACTTTACTCACACCGGCAACCAATTCACCCATACGCCAGGCAGACGCTGTCGTCCCCAGCGACGCTGTGCCTACTGTACCCGGGTCCTCGTCGCCCGCCAATTCATGCAATCCACCCACATTGACAGCCTCTTCCAGGGCACCCTCGGCCTCGGCATGTCTGAAGCGTCCTATGAGAACGAGCTGGCCCCTGTGCCCGGCCACCCCGAGGCCATTGATGTCGTCGTCGTCAAGGCGCTCCTCATCAAGGCCACCAACTTCCCCCCCGAGATCATCGACATGATCATCGACCACGCCGAGTACTGGCCCTGCTCCGAGACGGTCATGGACTACACCGGCCAGAACAAGGTGCGCATCTCCGCCGGCCACGCGAGCCACACCCTAGAGGACCGGCTGCTGCTGCGGACACCGCCCGTCGGCTTCGCGAGCAGCGCCATCGCCGACGCCGACACGTGGGGCAGACAGCCTGCGCCTGCGCTGCCCCTCGCCCACGAGGCGTCGCCACAGCAGCTGAAGAAGATTGTCAAGACGGCGCCGGCCCTGACGCATCCCGTGCGCAAGGTCGTCTTCAAGCTGCGGAGCTCAGATCAGGGCTGGGGCGGCGAGCGCGAGAACCACGGCACGTTCCACGGCTCGTGGACATGGTTCGAGGCCGGCCTGGAGAAGATCGAGGCCGAGGAAGGGGAGCAGCTGGGTGCGTTTCGCACCGACCATCTGAGGCCGCTGTACCCTCGCACGGAGGAGGACCATCGGGAGTGGGGGAACGAGACGCGAAAATATGTCCATCAGTTGAACGCAAACGAGGAGTACAAGATCCAGTGCAACCGTACCTGCACGCGGGGCGTCAGCAATTACGAGATCACTTGGAGGTGGACCGATGACATTGACCCAGAGTCGACGGCGGCCGATGAGCTGGAGGCGCAGGGCCGCGGTAGGGCCACGGGGAATGGGGAGTTCGTGCGGAATCTGCAGCTGGGCGATGTCATCACGGTATGGGGCAAGTCGAGGTTTCCGGGCTGGGCGAACAACGTCGAGACGGTGGCGGTGGAAGTGTACTGGGCTATCTGAATCAACTGAAAGGGAAGCGGGCGTTCCTGGGAGATTGATCATGGGACAGTATGCTTAATGATCTTGGGGCTGCGGCGGCCTGTAAATGACGAACACAACGAATCACGCTCGATGAAGTCGCTTTTGTACAGGTCGTTTTGGTGACTCGATTCTCGATTCGTCTCCTGGCCGTTTAACTTCATTTGGCTGTTTCACTTTGTCTGGCTAGTTCACTTTGTCTGACTGTTCAGCTTCGTCTGGCACTGGTCAGCCTGCAAATACTGCGAAAACGCCTCGTGGGCTCGAGCAACGACATGGTCGTGTATCGACACTTGTTCCACTTCGCCGAGCTCACAGGCAGCCATCGCTAGTTGACGCCACACGGGCCATCGTCAACAGCCTCAACCTTTCCTCCACCTCCCACCCTCGCAAAAAAACAATGAAGCAAAGGGCCATTAAAGCAGCCTCTCTCGCTTCATTGATTGGGACTCGTCACCCAACATTTTGGCTCGGTCACTTGCACCAGTCGGCACCGCTCACCAAACCCTCATCTCGCACCATGTCGACCATCACACTTCAAGACCACGGCATTCCCGTCACTCTGCCTGACGGCCTTTCCCAAGAGCAGCTCCTCTCTTTCAAGCCCTTCCATGTAACGTCCCACCAAAGCTTTCTGCTAGATCAATCTGACAACATCACAGACCTGGGTCTCGACCCTGACGGCCTCCCTCGCCCTCCAATCCAGCACGCCATCCCACCCCTTCCACGTCTCGCCCTACCGCCTGCACGCCATCACCGTCCAGGCCTACGACCTCTTCGGCCCCCGGCGCGTCGGGTTCCTCAAGGCCGTCGCCGACGTCTCCAACGCCGAGGGCGCGTCCCTCCCGGCCGCCGTGTTCCTGCGCGGGCCCAGCGTCGCCATGCTCGTGACGCTCGTCCCCGACGACGCCGCCCCCGACAGCGACGAGCGCTACGCCCTCCTGACGGTGCAGCCGCGCGTCGCCGCCGGCAGCCTCGCCTTCGTCGAGCTGCCGGCCGGCATGGTCGACGACGAGGGCAGCTTCGCCGGCGTCGCGGCCCAGGAGATCCGCGAGGAGCTCGGCATGGCCATCCGCGCCGACCAGCTGACCTGCCTCTCGGCGCTCGCGGCCGCGCTCGACGCCGAGGCGCAGGGGCCGACACGGGCGCCGCACCGCGGCGGCGAGGGCGGCG